ACAAGTAGTACCACTTCTCAGGCTGAATCTATCACAAGCCCAAGTAATTTTTTTGATTTATACAGTGCAATTGTTAAAGCTGAAGAACGAATTGAAAGTATGAATCAAGAAATTATTATATGCTATTTTGCTTTTGGAAAAAAGCTTAAGGAAAGGTTAGTCGAGTATATGAAAGATAATAAAGAATGTAGATCTTAGAGAAAACTTTATAAAGAAGTTGAAAAACAGCTCCCATCTAACCTCTCAAAAAATGCAATTGAGAAAAGAATAGAAAGAGCAAGAAAAATTTATGACCTTTTTAGTAGCATAGATGAGGATAAAATACAACAGGTAAGATCTTATTCGGTATTGAGAATTTCTAAATTAAGTTGAGATGAAATTGATGCTATAAAGGAGGAGTTTGAATGAGATTGTCTTTATTGCGCTACAATCACGTGACTTTGGTTAACTAATCGGTCAGTGAAACCAGAACAGCTAAAATACGTTAAGCTACCAAAATTAATAAAAAATTTGTTTTAATAGTAGGCATTGATTGGTGCATTTTAGTAAAGTTGAAATAAAATTTAGAGTTTCTATTTAACCTTCTAAAATCTACTTATACTTGTTTACTATAAATTCTACTCAGTATCATACTATACAAAATTATAGTAATTTACAATCCAAGTTTATAGTTTTTTTTTAATGTTGCAGTTTTGTAAAAAAAAATTTTTTTGAATATTTTGTTATTTTACTATATTATAAAATTTGAATTTCAGATAATATAAAAATATTAAAGATATTAGATTTTGTAGATTTATATCAAATTTTTTGTCTTGATTTAAATTTTTATTTCAAATTATTTTATTAAATCTGAAATATTTTGATAATGAAAAAAATTTTATCCATAAAATAGTTTTTTTATTATAGATACATTTCTGTTTTTAGTCTTTACTTTCTTACTAGATAATTTATTTTTAGGATATCTTTACTAGGTCTTTTACGGGATTCTTTTTCTAAAGGGATAATGCTTTGATCTGTTGGACGATTACCTTCACCATCTTCATTATCATCTACATCTGACATATCTTCTTCTATAATTTTTGGCAAATCTTGAGATTGGATACTATGTTTTTCCATTCTTCTAACTACTGATGATGTACTTGATTCAGAGCCCCTTCTATGCCCCGTTTCAATAATTTCAACCTCCTCACTACAACCAGAAAATGGACACATATTTGGAATTGTAAGTAAAAGTTTTTTTTTAATACAAAGTCTATGAAACACATGTCCACAAGATAGTGTTATAAATGCCTTAAGAGGATACGAAATAATTTCTTTTCCACATTCTGAACAATTACTTAGATTTGGAATTTTTTTACCCTTAACAATACTATCCTTTAGAGTTTTTAAAATACTATATGCAAGATTTTTGATGTTATTAATGGGAGTAGATGGTGTAGAAGTAGAAGTGGTAAACATATTTCAATTATAACCAGATAAGTTTTACATAACGAAATCTCTTATACTTTGCTTATTTTTATAGTTTATTCTTCACGACTAACAAACCTAATTTGCAGATTTTATAAAATCTCATTTCGGATTTGGTGATCAGGTTCATTCACGAATTATTTAGTATGAACCAAAGACCGATCAATCTACTGGCAATCGTGAACGATTTACAAATTAGTAATTTAAAAATAGCAATGATAGCGAACTATTTTTTTTATAATGAATAGATAAGCCATGAACTAATCTAGATACTCCCATATAAGTCATAGATATCCTCAATTTCAGAAGTATTCTCATTAATTGCCTTGGGTGTGAGAGCTAGGGTTTCAGGTTCAGGCTCTGGATCCGAGTCAAGGTCAGAATCTGAAGTATCACCCTCAGCATAATACATTCCATAATTATGATGATCCATCTTATACCTCATTGCAACTCTGCTAAGAAATTCAAGATGTTGCGAAGTTAGATTTTGACCACTATGAACTCTAGAAGTATGTTTACCTCCAATTTTCTTAATCTTTTGGCTGTAATACCATATGATTTTAAAAATTTACTAAATACTTCTGTACTGCATTTTTCATTAATACTATAGACAGGATTGCGTAACTTTCTAGTTGCTATTGCATCTTGGATCCAGGTAAGAAATTCTTTTGCATGTTCTGGATTCTTTTCTATAGATAGAAATTGCTAAGATTCAGGATTATTTTTTGCTTCTCCTTTATTTTTAATATACCTAGTACAATACCAAGAATAATCAGGCTTGAACCATTCAGAAGGATTCGATTCACTAGGTTCATAATGGATAATACGAAGAGTAGCAACTTCGGCAGGTCTCATGCTCAACATCATAATTACATCTGCAAGATCTTGCATAGTAGGAATTTTAGTAGTATTGATATTTTGAATTCTTCTAAGTCCTTCCTCTAAGGAAAAGTGTTTGGGAGTTTTAGGTAGATTGGGTAATCGCTGTTTGAGTTGCCTCTTTTGAATTTCGTTAGAAGTCGAGTAACTTCTGGTAATTTGGCATATATATAAATTTGCTCAGAACCAACCCTAGCTTCTGCTAACTCTCTACGAAATTGTGAAACATAAGAACTGGCTGCCACAATTGCTTCATCTGTATTATTTTTTAGCACAGCTAAATCTAAAACATGTAACCAAATATCCCACACATCTTTAGTTTTTGCACAATATTGAGCTTTTTCCTTGATAGTAAGCCTTTTTTTTTTGTTGTTTGGAACCAGAGCTCCTATTTGATTTTCTTTGAATAAGCGCCGACGGAGAGCCTCTTTCACATCTTTATGAGCCTTCCAATCTGGTAGCATAGTACTAAGCTCATCGGCATGAGCATATAATTGAAGAGGTTTGATTCAGCTGATAGTTTATATTTATTGAGAACCTGATCCAAAATGGAGGTAAAGCTATTAGTTTTGGGTTTTCTAGTTTTTTGACAGTTGCTATGATAGATATGTAAATAATCTATATCGATAAGTAGAATGTGATTATACATTAACCTACTTATTTTTTTCAATTCGAAATTAATTACGCTTTTCCCTCTTATACTCAGAAAAAAAGTTTATGTATACCTATAGGGTAAGTAGAATGTCGATTTGAAATTTATTAACATATAGAATATAATGAAAAAAATTTATAGCTTCGAGTTGTGGCTACTCAGGCTATATAATATATCAGTTTATTATTATGTTTTA